CTTTTGTCTTCTCGACCATCTACACGTGTCAGGTCTCCCAGCGCTCCCTAACGAATCCCATCAAATCTGCTGCGAATACGGGCTTCGGCTGGCACACGTCTGAGTATCGAACCATGCAACATCTACTGGTTCTCCCAACAGGCCAATCACTCATATACGGGCAGTTCGGCCGCGGTCCGCACTAGTATTCGATTTTGTGATTTCGAAACTTCCTCGAAGTGGAGACTGGCTTCCGCATGAAAGCTTATCTGGTGCTGCAGTCTTTTTGCAACCAGAAGGCGAGGTTCATATTTATCAATAACATAATTTTCATTATCAGAATGGACTCCGCTTGCGACGATGAGACCCGTAGGAATACAAACGCAACATACAGACTATATTGTCTACTCTAACACTGTTATCGGCATTTTGGCCCGGGAACATTATATCGGCATGTAGCAAGCACTCTGTGGTTTCTTCCAGGGGTATTTGACCTCCGGCTCCAAGGGGGGTATTTCGGGGTCAACCACTCTTGCCGGCTCTGTGGCCTTACAAAGGTGTTGTTTCCACCTGCTGATGATTGGTTGGGGGAGGGGGGGGGCTGGACCCCGAAGCCTTTCAGCTTACCAGATAATTACGGAATGACTTGGATTGAAATGAACACGACTATCTGGAGCGGCTGTGCACAGGTAGTGCATGCAATCCAGAAGATATTACCGAGGCTAGGTTTTTTAGGTTGTCTTGTTTCTTGAGCAATGAAATTATTCTTACGCTAAAAGCTCCAGATGTTTCGAGCATCCTGATTAGCCTGGGCTGAGTATGCGTTTTTTTATGCTATATTCTGAAGCACCCGCATTGGATCACATCATCCACGCCTAAATTTAAAGAGTCCTCTTTTGTCTGCTTGACATCCGCGTTCTACCCGCTCGCCACCGCCGGACCAGGCCCGGTGCATCCAGGGAAGCCTGAACTCCGTTGTTTGACGGCTGTCGCTGTCCTAAATGGCAAACTGGTGTCGCGACTTCGGTACACTTTCTGACCTGCTCGACAGTAGTGTCGGATTCAGTGCGGCGACAGCACTTAGGGCAGTGGTCGCTCTATGTGACCGATATTCCTTACCGAAAAGACAGCTAAATGGTTTCGTTTTTGATTCGTATACATACTCTTATTATTGAGCAGTAGGCGGTCCCTTTGCATAGTGGTAAACGCTCAAACACCCAGCGTTAGATAACATGCAATGCCGATAACAGTAGGTTTAAAATACGATCGTAGCACAAATGAAACATAAATAGATAAAAGACACTTACTGTGATGTGCACTTGATGTAAATATGCCTAGTGAGCGTGCTGCTTACATACTAGTATGGCTTTAGGTGCCCTGTTGCTGTGATAGACTTTTGTACACAATTGCCAGTTACTTGCAAAAAGACGCATGTAAGATGACAGTCAATGGTATAAATCACGACCGTATTTCAAACGCGCTGTTATCCGCATTGTATGATATCTAACGCTGGGTCTTTAAGTGTTTACCACTGTGTGCAGGGACCGCCTACGGCTCTGTAGTAGTATGTACACGGATTAAAAACGAAAACGCTTGATGGTATCAAACAAGACATTAATTCAATTTTGAAGAGGACGCTCTATCTCAGCTGGCCTCCCAATATCCTCAATAGTTCAGAGGAGAAAAGTATGATAGGTAGACATGAAGACACCACGGTAGTGCGAAAACACTTTGGGCGTGTTCCGCCTCGGAAGATACATTGGGTATCTGATCCCTCAGATGAGACCGAAAGTGCGCTGCTTGATCTTCTTAACATCGACGTTCTCCCAGAGAGCGACGCTGAAAATAGTGACCGAGTAGATACACGTAGCAGCGATGAGCATATAACGTTGGGTCTGACCATAGCTGAGGTTAATGGCGTCACGCTCCGGGGTACCCCAGGCGTAGCTTTGCTGTACGAGGATATCGCCGTAGATCGAAGTAAGGTTACCCATAGCATCAGCTGGAAGGTTGGCAGCCAGACGAGCTGGGAAGACACCAGTCCATATGGCGCCAGCAATGGTTGAGCCGATGGCACTGCCAATAGCGATGACCATAGCCTCGACAGCCAAAAGGGCCGGGAAATCTTGCTGCTTGGACACAGCCATAAGTGTCGTCTGCTCCGAGATGACAAGTACACCGCCACCAAACGCGATGAAAATCTGGCACATGACAATGTACCCGATGTTGACATCAGGCTGGCGAAACTTGATCATGAGACCGACACCGAGCATGGTGAGTGGTACTCCCCAGAATAGAGAGTACATCTTCAGCTTTCCATAATGGCGCAGCGCCACTCCATACACCAGGCAAATGAAGCAGCTGCCCATGGTGTAGATGTTTGAAATATACGTGGCATGGGGAGTTGACTGGTTGAACATGACAACCAGAAGCGAGTAAAAGTAAGAGTCCCAGACATACCTACAACATTGAGGTCAGCTATCAAAGCACCAAGAAAAAGTTAAGTTCGGATGTAGAGGGGACTAGGTCATAGTATGCCCACTGCATGGCCTGTATCAGGACCTGCAGCCTGATAAAGCCTTTAGAGCGAAGGGTACAAATAAGAAATATTTGTTCTTGAAAATGCTGAGACCATGTCCGGAAGTTGCTTACCAGCCAATGTATAGCGATGCAGCCATCGTGTAAGTGAAGATGATGGTGCGGTTCTTCAACAAATGCCATGGGATAAAGGTAACGGGGGCACCGTACTTCTCCCACAGGCCAAAGGCAGTGATGAGAAGACCTCCGAAGATGATGAAGCAGATGATGAGCGGCGACTTCCATTGCTCGGTCTGGTAGGAGTAAATGTTGAAGCTGAGTAGGAACAGGGACAGGCCGAGCGCCAAAATGAGAAGGCCGACGACATCGAATTCTCGGAGATAGTAGACCAGGGTCTGGCCGGCAGTTCCTCGGCTGGGGTTGGGCGGGATGAGACCTTGCTTCCGCGCCTTGGCCTCGTTTAGGTAGAAGATGGCCAGCAGTGGGGAGCATACAAAGGGGGCGAGGATGGCGAAGATGCCGAAGCACCACCTGAAGCCGATTCCATTCACAGAAATGACGCTGTTAACCGCGTAGCCGTAGATCCAGGTGGTGATCAACCACGGGGAGGCCGCATAGGCGATAAACAGACCTCGGTTCTTGAGCTTGGTGGAGTCGGCGATGAAGACCGTAATGGAGAAGTCAATCATGTTGTATCCCATGTAGTAGAACGTCATGGCTGCGCAGTACGTCTGCACGTTCCTGCACGAGGCCATCATAATCAGACCTAGCGTGTAGGAGGTGACGCCGATGGACAGCGCCTTTGGACGGCCCCAGATGTTCATGATTTTGGCATACGGCAGCTTCCAGATACCAGCAACGAGTGAAGAGATGACGCCAGTCAGGGCCGTGAGCGAGTGCTTCTGGAAGTCGCTGGTGACGTAGACCGTCAGGGTGGAGATGGAGCTCGAGCAAAAGGACATGAAGAAGGTGATGAACCACATCCTGCATCCGTCCGCAATTAGCGACTGACTTCCTACACATCACTTTCCGATGTCTCTCTTTGTCCGTCGACACTTACGAGACGAATGCCACGATCTTGTCCCTCTTGCTCCAAACCTGAGTCGCGGCCTGGACCGCCTGCACTCCATGCTCGGCAGTCTTGTCGACCTGGTTCAGCTCCTCATCCGAGTCCTCGCACAGCCCAGTTGTGCGCGGCGTGCCGAGTTTTTCGTCAGGGCGAGGAACATCGAGGCTTGTGTGGCCCTGGACCGAGGCGGGGACATCCGCAACATCCTTGGTATCGACCTGATTGTTGGCGCCAGTGGACACCAGGGCGTTGGACGTGAGACCGCGGAAGGAGAAGCCCATGATGAAGATATGTCGTGCAGCTTGGCGCCTGTGGAATACAACCACGGAGCGTCATCTCTTATATAGCGAGCCGGCGACCCAAGTGGACGAAATGGTCCAATGTCGCAGGCAGAAACCCAACGCCACTTGCACCACCTACGGACGAGGCTCTGTGTACCACCGTACGGAGTAAGCACATCGCATGTGCATGTTCTGGGCTTGGTAGACCTCCATGTCGGTCCGAGTATGAGACGGCAACACTCCTGCAGGATCTGTATCCCCGCAAGCGCAGCTCTAAGCGACATGTACCAGTCTTGAAGCAGGAACAGGCCCGCTTCATGCTCGTTGAAGCTCGGCCCAGACCCGATGAAAAAAATCTTATCTCGATAATCGCCCGGTCTGTGTGGTGCCTTAGCGCTCAGTAGCGTGGTGCTGTACACCGGTTGGAAATTTTTTGATCTTATCATTATCTGATGGAATTTTGCTGGTCCTGAGCGTCGTCAGCCGGTTTTCGGCCACGCCGCCACACATCCCGCAGTGCGTGGGGAGCGTCTCGGAGATGCAAACTAAAAGGAGCCTACGTTCGCGTCATATTGGTTCTCCGAGGGTCGCTCATTAGTATGCCGGGCATCGTTATTACCATTTCTCCACCACCCCAGTGCCAGTAGGCATCTTCCAAAAAAAATTCTTCTAGGCTATTCACATATGTGCATATGCCTCGTTGATTTTGACCCGTCTCGCTTTATCCTGTAGCGAATGTTCGGCAACTGAACCACTTGGGAGAGGATCTAGATGTGCAAAATTAAAGACACCACCGAGAAGCCGAATTGCTCACTCGTATATGGTTGCATATAGGCTTGATGGACGACCACGGGATCAAATCGCGTACCTCAAAGGCAACCAGCTCAGTGGGTGTTCCAAGGCAGAAGTATAATAGTCTAAGATGCGACTAGCTCCCAAGCCTATCTATGTGCAGATAGGCACTATCGGTATATGCCAGCAGTAGAAGGACACAAGAATTATACCCTCTCTCACCGAATGTATAGAAGTCCGGGTATATATGAGCCTTCTGGGAGAGTACCTAGATCTGCAAAAGTGAATCCACCGCCAAGAAGCTTGATTACTCGCTCGGAGAGGCCTGTGGGTTGGCAAAATGGACGACCACGGGATCGAACCGTGTACCTCGCGCATGCTAAACTCCTCCTTTTTGAGAAGAGAAGGTTGATGCTAAGCGCGCGCTCTACCATTTGAGCTAGACGCCCTGTGTTGAAGCGACGTGTCGTCGCGGGTACTATGGCGGAGGTCGGCACGAGGTCACAGTTGTGGACGGGCAGCAGAACCAGCCCGACGAACATGTTGAAGTACAGACTAGACTTCTCGGAACGGTCACCACGAAAGACTTAGCAGACACTGTCGAGGATATCCTCCAGTGGCTATATTCTGAGGACATCTCAGGGACACCCGGGCCGCTGGGAGAATGATTAGGCTCTTCGGCGAACTCATCACCAGAGCTTGGAAGCTTCAGCGTGCGTTTCGAATATATAATGAGAGATGTTGAGGAGAACTTCGTTTGCGGCAATATTTCTGGAAACTCGCATAATGATCAGAAATTTAGCAAAGGATCGGCCCTGCGAAAAGATGGAAAGCAGGTTAAGTTCAAGCCTCAAGACAGAGTATCACAGAACGAGCTGTGTTCGGGTCTCCGCTATGCAGCCACGGTATCTACATGGCGGACCGCCTGGGCGATCCTCGCTCCCCACCGTACTATGAGATTACCTAGATAGCCATTCTATCTCCGCTCTCCCGACATGCTTTAAATGCTTTATGTGTTTCAAGCGCGATGATAAGGCCACACGAAATAAGGATGGTATACGCTGCACAGTGCCTCTACTAGGATTCGACTCTGACATGCTGCAGTAACACAGCCACATTCTCAAAAAGAAAATGCGAGAATGTCACTGCGAGACCCGCCTGGGGCTTGAATACCGTCTTCCCGTTTATCCTATAGGATAACCTCGTATAGGAATTTATCCCATAGGAGGTCATTCAAAAGGAGGTTTCCTAGGTAACTATGCCTTTGGCGAGGGGAAATGGAGAGGTTTTTTATGTGGTCATAGCTTTCTCCCACAAATGTGTGACTTTCGATAGAATCACCAAAATAAACAGTCGACAAGCAACTCTGTTATGAGGGAGTGGGGTCAACTCGAGGCTTTAGTATCCCCGGTGTCTCAGTAAGAAAAGAGACAACGTCGTATGCTTCCAGGGCACAATCAAATGGATGACTGGGGTTTGAAGCTCATGACAATCATTCCCAAAATCATTCATATGACTTGCGAGAACCCAGCATGTGTCGAATTGTGGCGCCTGTAAGACGCCTCCACAAACATTGGCAACTAGTCATAATGCATCTGCAAGGGTAGGGTATATCACATATTTCACTAAACCTTTAGGCGGATGACGCGCGACGCTAACTCATTCAACCTGACTGCGGCTGAAGGCAGCATCCTTCAATGTTCCAAGCCACGATTAGGCTGTGTATTCCGTGGCCTTCCCTGTGAGATCCTTAGATCAGCTACTGTCTATTCTCAACGCCTGATGCGTGAGTTAGAGTCTGCAGACAAGTCAGCCACGTCTTCTGCAGGACAGGCATCAGGACTATTCGTAGAGCTAGCTAGTGGCGTCGTTTCTGCGCACATATCGGCCATGCCGGCCAAAGAGTGGGCACATATATCAGAGTCAGCTGGCTGGGAATCTCCCCGGCCTTGGGGGCAGGGGGGTTGCGAAAACGGTTACAATTAGGTGATCAAATCAAACCGACAGAGGCATGGCTGCAAGGATTGTGACCTCAACCCTATGGCTGGACGCTTTGCCCCAGTCTATAAAGTCTCTAGAACTGTAAACAGTTAGAAATTACTCTGAAGGTTAGGCATGAATATATAAACTGATTGCTAAATAAGCTAATTAACAGTGACTTTATATTATATCAGTGCGTTTTAGTTTCCTACTAAAATCAATTGACATCTACTAGATGTCGCAGCGTACGTCCTAAGGGCCTACCTCAAAAGCTGGCGTAGAGAGATGTAATAATTTAGAGGCGCCAGGGACTTCTAATATCGATGTTCTGGTTATTAAATAATCGGGACAGAATATTCAGTTTAGCGGAATGTCTCCTTCAGTTGCTATTAAACTAGAGATCCCGTCTTGCCAAGTTAGTTATAAAATCAATTGTGAAATTGAAATCTTCGGAGCTCGCATGAGTACTTGTGCCCGGGGCTGCATGTGCGGATATGAACGGCCTATCACTACATCAAGGAGCGACGACGATTGGTATTTTAACTACTAAAAGGGCTTATTTGACTCCAAAACTAGACCCGGTTGCGATTTCTATAAAGAAAATAGTTACAAGCTTCCCGACATGTACACTCTCTAACAAAACTTGTTTGCCGCCCCTCCACCGAAAACAGCTGTAGACACAAGTAGACATAAGCAGAGTCTAATTCTAACCGGCCTGGTACACACCTAGCGCAGTAACAAATGGATTGATCTGAGTGATGTTGTATGGTGTAACTCTAATGTTCGAGCCCGTGAGTGCAAGAAACATGGTCCCATTGATGGCTGGGTCACCTGCCCAAGTCGAAACGTTCGGTTGAATGGTACGCGCTGTCCGATTTTGGAGACAGAGGTCCAGGAGTGGGGAATATGTAACATTGAGTTGTGAGACCCATGCCGCATATTTCGGCTCCCTGACATTGGTTGATGTCACGTAGCTATTGTTGGGACCGACAAGTTGACCAGGTTCATCCCAGTGTAAGAAAACCTCACGGCCAGGGTACGAGAGTGGAATGGTGCGGTTTTGGCTGACGGCCGCATCACAGCTCTGTAATGGGTCAGTTGCGTTGACGCATAACTCCTTTGAAGGAATGTTGGCCGTGGAGAGTGTGTTGCTCCATCCACCAGTCGTCTCGTTCCAGGTATCGGAGTTATTGATACGTGCTGGGTTAGGCTGATTGAGAATGTGCAGGGCGGGAAAGTTTTGCCAGATCAGACGTGTTTGATCAGAGGGGCAGCTCGAGATGTACGGCGCAAGCAGAGTCCAAGCCCAAGATTGCGGAATTCCAGGCGTGTGCCATTCAGGCATGGGGAATTGACCGCCAAACTGTCGAAAGATGAGTTGTTGGCGAGCCTCGACCGTAATGCTCTGCAACACTAGCTGTGCGGCAGGCCCCGAATTGAGGTGCGGCAAGAAGCCGTATACCCCGGCTTCGCCCCAGCGCGTGAGTTTCTGGTTGAAGTCGATATACTCACGGACGTTGGAAACGGGATAGTTGTACGTGCACTGCTTTGGCGCCCGAGGACCGAGCATATTTGTTATGACTGTGGCGTGGCCAACCTCTTGATCGGCCATGTGTTGAATGAGAAATCTGTCTTCGGCGTTGATCCCGTAGGCTTCAAACTCTTCGTCTGAGTACGTCGCCAAACCCCAATGGAAAAGGTCCAGCTCGATCCATTCCTGGTAAAGGGCCAAAGCCAAAGACTGGTAGTCAAAGTCGCTTTGGACGCGATATACTGGCTCAGACCCATTGGTGCCCAGCCCGCCACTGGGCGTGAATGGTGCGGGTTGGTCTCCATGTAGCTTGCCATCGAGTGGATAGTCAAAGGAGCCGCTGGGAGGAGGCAGTACCGGAATTGAGGGACCGAGGACTGAGGTCGAAATAGCACCAGTGCTGGTTGCCGGCGGACCAGTGTATGGACCATGAGAGGTAACATTAGTATGGGATACAGCAGATGGGATGAGTTGTTCTTCTGAAGCAATAGTCGTGTGTTCGTAAAACTGTAGGGGGACTGCTCTCGCCAAGCTCACAAAGCCAACTAACCCGGTGCAACGGGTGACAACGTGTCTCATGATTGGCAGCGGACAAAGATGGGTGACGGTTATCTAGGTTAGGCTCTAGGGCTCTAAACCAACTTCTAGGGCAAGGCAAACTGGATTTAAAAGTTATTCAGCTGCCCAAACTAACGCGTATGTGACGCACACGAGCTCACCGAATTACGAATTGTGGGAGCGCGTTCAAATCGTGGAGACTCAAATGATTGGCGTGACGATTACGTCAACGGATCGTCAACCTCCTTATTCACCGATGCATGACGGGTACATAGTCATTTATATTCCAGCCATCATCACGGTAAAAAATGTAACCGACTCAAATCATTGGATCATTTACTCGTCATCAACGCAACACTATCACTGTTGCATGCGGCGGGAGGGGCAGACATCACTTGAATGACGTGAAATTGACTGTGAACTGGACATCTATTTCGGCATGCGATACCCGATGCTTTCATCACTTTTCAATGTAACTCTACCTAACTTACGTCTCTCGCTTATGTAGATGACGCAAATATGTATTGCCATCGTCATCGACTACTGGCCTGTGTCCAGGGTTGGAAATCGATCGACTGATCGATTCGATTGATTCGATTAATCGATCCGATTTTGATTTCGATCGATTGATCCAACCTGTCAATCGATTGATATCGTATCGATCAAACCTCCAATCGATCGATTTGATCGCCGATCACCACGTACTTCGGAGGTGTCCCGGGTAGGTTGCGCATGGCAGCTCATAGTATGATACGCAACGAATCTATCGCCAGACGCGTCTGCCCTGGCAAGTCGTTAGGGGCCACAGGCAGCTATACATGATGCGTGGCAGTAGGAAATGACCTAATGTATGAGCTATCCTCTCTATCTCGTGCTATTTGCAATTCCGCTAATGCCTGGTTTAATAGACTTTATATATATTGCAACTAGGAATTATCTCGGGTTTTAGCTTGTCTAACGGACCCGGCCCACATCTGCCGCACCCCCTAATCTGCCGCACCCCACACCCACGTACGCGCATAAACGCGTCTGCCCCCACCCTATAAACACTCCTCAATAACTTTACGAGGAATTTTTTTCTGGTCACCAAACTTTATACATACATCAATCTACTAACTATAAAGCCCTATTCTAAAAATAACGTACACGACGCCCTTATTGCAATCGCCAATGGGATGCCAATTCGAGAGGCCGGCAGGACCTAGCATATACCCAAACGTATACTTCAGCACTGCCGTAACGGCGTTTAAAGCCATCATGATACTACCAAGCCTTAGCAAAGTCTTTCTAACGTTTAGGAGGACCGATTGGCTCTATTTATTATTAATCAGAGTAGTCTAGGGCTGGCGTTAACCTGATTTAAGATAAAAGTCCTAGCAG